CTAAGTGTGAGGGGGTCCGAGGTGTGAGCGCGGCTCCTTGGCGCCTGGGTGCCAAGAGCGCGGCGTTTGAGCAAATAGCGGTAAGCTCCAGCGCAAGATTGCGATTCTCGAATGTGTTGCGAGCGCGTATCCAGCGAGAGCGCATCTCCAGAGCGCCGAGAGAGCGATTCCTAAGTAAATGGTAAAGAGGTCCCACGCGAAAGCTCGATTCCTAAGTAAAGTGCGTGGCCGTCTCGGGCGGGAGCGGGGGTCCTGGCTAAATGTTGAGGAAGGTCTAGGCGGGAACCGCTATTGTTGCAAACCGGGGGCCAGGGGCGCAGTTTGACCCTTGTGAATTTCCCTGGCAAAAATGGGGTGCGAGCCACGGGGGTAGCACTTCAATTGGACAAATTATCACCGGAAGGGGGATCAACAATAAGTAGTCTTCAGTCGTGAAAGTTCAACAATAAACGTAACAATCATTTGAAGACTGTTCGTTCCGATCTTCTCGCGTGCCAGTCAACGCGTATATCCCGAACCCTCGGTACCCGCCTTCTTCGTTTTCGATCGGACCCCCTTGGGGGTACACCTTCCTTGCCTGCCACGCGCATTTAGCGCACCCCCTGAAAAAAGGGGAAGAGAGGACGGATGGAAAGGGGGAGGGAGAAGGATTGAACGCGAGAGACTTTGGCAGGAGGTGGCTAGGAACAGAAAACACGTGGGAGGACCAGACGGGCACATCGGGCGGGCAGACCTTAGCGGGCGGGTCGGGAAGGCGGGCCCAGCGGCCAGGTCGAGAAGGCGGGTTGCTGAAGCGCGAGTCTTTCATGAATCGCGAGGAAGTCTTCGAGCGATAGCGCGATTCCAAGGTAATCCCCGAGAAAGGCCAAAGCCAGAGAGTGATTCCAGAATCGAGGACGCGGCGTCTGAATCATTTGCGAAGAAATCCTGTACGAGAGCGCGGTTTCTGCGTGCCTGTTGAGGAGATCCTGCGCGAAAGCGCGATTTCGGAATACATAGTGAGGAAATATGGGGCGGGAGCCGTTTTGGTTGTAGACTGGGGGCCGAAGACACAGTTTGAGCAAGGTTGTTGTTTATGAAAAACAGAGTGCGGGCCCCGAGGGGCCTCTTCAATTACAAACAGTGTGCACAGATGGGGAGGGGTCAACAATAGTTGAAAATTGAACTCAGCAGCGATCCGTTCCGCAGAAACCACTTCAGCCACGCGCCCAGGGACAATGAATGACCGCCCGGCATCCTCTGTCATATGTATATATATGTATGTACCTTTATATATATGTATATATACATATATATATATGCATGTATATATATACATATATATATGTATCTATATACATACATACATACATACACACGTGAACAGTCATGCATACATACATGATTAAGGACATACAGACAAGCACAACAATAGACAGACAGACCGACAGACCGACAGACGTACATGCATACTTACATACGTGCATGCATGCGTGCATGCGTACATACTTACATACACATATCACCGAAAACAGATGCGCATTCACACTTTTCTGGCATCGCGGCCACGCACGCAGCTGCGTTGCGGAGTCGGGTTCGAGCCAAAGAAGGGGCGCGAGAACAGGCCAGCTCAAAGGAAGCAGGGGCATGCCAGACCCAATCTTTTGGGACGAGCAATTGACCAAGGAAGACTCCACATGGGTGCCCAAAAGCCGTCGAGCCAGGATCCAAGTGCGTCGAGTTTGCAATTGCGTTAAGCCCGAGGCGAGGTGACCGAGTGACGTCATTTCAGCAAACGGCTGAAACAGGCCACGCTAAGCGCTAATTCCACCCAGCATAGCAGTTGATTGGACAACGCAGTGCGGCTTGCGTGCAGAAGAATTACAGTGGTTGCGCTAGGCGAGCACGAGCGAGAAGAACAGCATACACCGTGCAAGGAAAGCCCGGTAAACCGGGGAACGCAATGTTAGCAAGCGTGGGCCCCAAACAGTTAGTTTCTAGCGATCTACGTGCAGCAATCGTTGTGGTGTCATCCGCGTAGTGCAACACATGTTGCACAATATTTGTGGATCACCACTTGCGGAGCAATACTTGCGATTCCATCTGTTTGGCGCAACCAATGTTGGGCAGTATGCACGGTGTCATTAACGGGGCACGCAACTTATATGGTGCGCAACCTATGTGGTGCATTCGTCGTGGTGCAAAATGTGTGACATCGTATTTATATGTGTGTATAAATGTACGTATCGCAATCCATGTGGTGCAGTGGAGGCGGTGCTATCTATATGGTGTAAATGGTTTCTGCCAAAACGAATTGACAAATCCCATGCTCTTGCAAACATCCCATTCACCCACCCGCAAGTTGGTTTGCAGAACCCATGCGGCGGTGATTGCGATGACTGCTCGGCGTGGTTGGTGCGTCTCTGCAGCCACGCTAGCCCGCGCATGCTCGCGCGCGCAGCGGCCGACTCGTTTGGCGCGACCGATGTGGCCGCGGTGGCGCTGACCGCATGGCACTTCCCAGCGGGCACTTCAGTGCGAGTCGGTGACTTGGGCGGGCGCGGTATCATGCGGTATCATGGCGACGCTGACAACGGTTGACACGATGATGGGAGCAGCGATGATGACGACGATGGTGGCGATGACTACGGCAAGGCCACTCACGGCGCCGATGATGACCGCGCCCGCCGATAACGATGACGACGTCCTCGCGTCGGCGGTGCATGTTATATATATATATATAAACAACAACAACAAAACAAACAAACAAATAATTGAAACATAACAGCCGGCAAAAAAAAAACGGAACGCGCGCGCGGCCAACGAGAGCGAGCGGCCCGCGCCCGCGTAACGTCATTTGACGCGGACCGCGCCCGCCCCCACCCCCCGTCTCCACCCCAGCTCGCGCGTAAAGGCGTCCGAATGATGTCGACATGCGGCGCGGAAAGGCCCGTTTGGCCGAATTCGATGGAGATTGTGGGAAACCGATGGTTGTCTTGAGTATTCGCAACAGCGCGAGCGCCGTGTTGTTTTGTTTGGTTGGTTTGTTTTGCTGTTGATTCAAACCCAGGTTTGTTATATATATATATATACATACAAATATGTAAAACTAAATAACATTTACGGTACATACGTTGTTTGAAAGATTGCGGCATGCGCGCGCGACGACGCGCGCGCGTGCACTTCGTTTCGCTTGTGTTGCAAGGGATGTTTGCGACAGCGCGTGCGCATGGGCGTTAAACGATGTCGACATGCGCGTGCAAACAGAATTTTGGTTGCATGGTATGAACCGGATGAGAACATAGCGGTTTTCTTGAGTACTCGCAACAGCGCGAGCGCATTTTTTTGATGAAGAGTCTGGTTGCGAAACCATATTTTGTCAGGACCGTCGATTTTGAAATCCTTCCGAAACCGGGGGATGCGCACAACGACGCGCGCGTGTTCCATTTGTCAGATCAAATGTTTTGCAACATCGTTTTTTTTGCAGAGGATGAGGGGGGCGTTATTGGCCGGCCTTGCATCGTGCGAAATCATTTACAGGATGGACGACGGGTCAGAATCAGCTGGTCATACGGAAAAGGGGGGTTCGGGTAAAACTGGTGGGGGGAGATCTCAACACGGTTTTTGGGGTAATAAATGCTTTGGTGAATATTTGTCCTGCGCAATTTATCTATGTGGTGCTACCTTGATGGTGCAATTTGTGATGCGTACTCTATGCGGTGCAATCAACGCGGTACAACTGATGTGGTGCAGCCCGCGTGGTGCGATATAGGCCGTGCGATCTACGTGGTGCACTAGATGGTGCGCAATGTAGCCGGCAACGAGGCGGCGACGGTGACCACGGAATTGCGAGGCCGTCAGCCAGGCCCACACGACGGGCGGAAACGAAGCGCCGACGGGGCGGCGACGGCGACCACGGAACCGCCAGACCGCCAGCCAGGCCCAGACAACGAACGGCGACGGGGCGACGACGTGGCGGCGACGGCGACCCGAGAGCCTCCGGACCGCTAGCCAGGCCCAAAAACTGTGAACGTAAGTTCTGTTCGGCGAAAAACACACATACACACGCGCACACACACACACACACTGCTTCACAAACATTCACACACACACACGCACACACACAAGCCGCACACACGCACACACGTGTTCATCCAGCGGTTGGGCAATTGCACCACAGCGAATGGTAAGGCGAGGCGCGCTTAGCTCAATGACCGCCCGACGTTGAAGATGGGGTTTCTGGATGACAGCAGACGCATGCAAAAAAAACGGGAGAACGCGGATGCACGTGGACATACCCACCCACACGCGCACATACGCACACAGACACACACGCACGCACGCACGCACGCACGCACGCACGCACATATACACACAAGCACACACACCCACAAACACACACACACACACACACGCACACACGCACACATTCTTCCGAAGGCGCCAGTGAATCCAACCAGCGGTGTCACGTTGAGGAGGCACCCGCAAAGCGAATTCGCTCCCTTGTGGAGCAGCGCAGCGGTCCTGAAAACTCCTGAAGGCGACAAATAGGCGGCACTGGGGCAAACAAAATAGGCGTCACAGGAAGAATCACACGCACACAAACCACCCGCTGCAAGAGTGGCGGCGAATGTGTAACGAGGTAGCTTGCGATTCGCGCTGACTCCCCGTTGGATTCCGATTTTGCTCCTTCCGAATCGTGGGTGGATTTCTTGAGGGGATCGTTTGGTTGTATCGCTGGTGCGAGTGTGTGTGTGTGTGTGTTCATATTCGTGCGCCCGTCGGTGCCACATGGAAGTTAGTCATGTTGAGCATAGCCCACCAAAGTCTTCTACCCCTAACTAGACTCTTCATCGCGCCGGATCAACGTGTATGTATGTGTGTGTGGTGCGTCTGCGTCGTCGCCTCCTCCCGCTCTGTCTCTCCCCAAATGTACCCCCTATACCCACGGATGACGACAACGAAGATATCGACGACGGCATCCCCGCCAATGGTGCAGTCATCCCCCTGCTGGCGCCAAGGACATGGACCAGTTGGAGTACGAAGTGGCGTCCGACAAGAAGGTCAAGGCCGCACGGCGGTCGCGGGGCGGCCAGGGTGTATCAGGGCCAGTATGCTGTGGGTTGGTTGTTCTTCCTCCTCCGCCTCCTCCTCCACCTCAATGGGCAACCACTTCTCCCCCTTCCAAGGAATGCGCATACCCTCCTCTTCATGTCTCCTGATCAATTCCCCTATACCTCTTCTGCTGTTGCTGATGACGCTCGCTATCCTCTGCTCCTCATACGAAAATACATTCTCCCTTCGACGTCATTAACTCGCAGTTCATCCTCCTCACTTCCTCCCACTGCTCCTCAACGATGACGATCCACTCCGTGCTGTTGTTGATCATTAGTCGACCCCTTCTCTTCTTCCGTCATCCTTCTTCGTACCCTATTGTGTGTCCACCGTCTTCGTACATAGCACCATCATCCTCATCAGCTTCATCCTTGTCGCCATCATCATCATCATCATCATCATCATCATCCTCATCATCATCATCATCATCACCATCATCATCATGGCACTGATTATCATATAGTAATACTCATCCTCATTATCATCAGCATCATCATGGCACTCATCATCAGCACCATCACCACCAGCATCATCATCACCAGCATCAGCATCAGCATCAGCATCATCATGACACACATCATCTAAATCGCCATCAATATCATTATCAGTATCATCAGTCTGATCAGCATCGCCATCATCACCAGCATCATCA